GATTTAGAATAAGAAAATATATGGATTTCATACAAAATGTAATCATAATATTATGGCATGATACTATATTGAAGTAACATAATATATTAGAGCAGACTTATTATAAAATTATAATCAATAACCAATAATTTTGATTTTTCTTACAAACTGCTGCAGATATATTGTAGCCATTTCCTACATTTTAACACTATTTTATACGACCGAGCATTCAGTTATATTATATGGTTTGGATACGCATTCATACGAAATCCATAAACAAGAAAGTATTTTGTCGCTATATGGGTTCTATTTAATTTTTAAATTATTTTTTCGTTATAAACAGTTGATTTAAATAAATAATAAATAATAAATAAATTTGTATGTATACATATAGTAGTAAATAGTAATACGATGCTACGAAATATAAAATCAAAAATTCCTAATAAACTATGAATGAGAGTAAATATTACTACCAAAGACAGATAATTCTACAATAACTAAACTATTTATTCTATACAATGAAATGTATTTAATAATAAAAAAGTTATGTTTTTAATTTGTTAAAACAAAAATAGATATAAAACTAATGGATTAAAAAGATATTTTAAGAGAATATTTTTTTTTTAATTTTAAGAAAAATATTTAATCCGTATCTTTGAACACAATAAGAATATGTACGAAGAATAAGTGAGAACTTAACATTAAGTATTTAAAAAAGCAAAAAAGTATAATAATAAAAATTACTATAATTAAAAAAAATTTACCTATTCCTGTATTTTTAAACTATGTGATTAAAGTAATATTAAGCAATTTTATAAAGGTACAAAAATACCAAAAACTAATTTTAATCATTTGTAAATAAGAAAATTTATTGTTAATCTTWTATTGAAAATTTGAAAGTGATTCGGCTGCAAAATATTAACACGCGCTCATTGTAGCGAAAATTCATAAATAAAAGTTTTCCAATAAATTATGACCACACTATATAAGCGTACGATATGATGTTACATTTCAATTGATCGCGAGCGTGGGTATTTTAAATAATTAAACAACAGTTGTAATTGAAAACTATTTTACTATAGTGTAATAAACTATTTTGGAAATCTAACAACGGCCGGAAAATTTGCGATAGGGTTAATAACGAAAACATTGGAATTTCGTACTGTAAGTATTATTATGTGATAATATTTATAACGCAGGTTTATAAAAATATGATAAATGCGCTTTGGTCATTCAATCGAAAAAATTGGGAAAACGTACAAAACACCGTAATATAATATCCAAGCATTTATACTACACATACGCACCTATATAAATTCTATTCTAGTTTCCTTCTATATATCATGTCATATAGTGTATTATAGAAACACCGCTATCGACTTCGGTTTCGATAGACGTCCGGTTAACACCGTCAAAAAGACTRTTGTCGTATTCCACTATAGTGGTGTAACCAATCTAACCTGTCTATTCAACGTGAATGTGCACTTGTCCGTTTGACATTACGTGGTTTACTTCTCAGAGATTTATTTGTAGTTAGCACACAACAAATTCTCGATTCATAATACGATTTTGGTATTTTTCGATTTTATTTTTTCATCACACATAGACGGTTCAGTTGAAATTTTTGAACTTATCGTTGGATAATTTATGCTCAAAACAACACTTTCCGATCAGTTACCTACCCGCTTTAAACAATCGTGTTATACACAAACGTCACAAACTACTCTACAAGTAATGTAAACAGCGCACAGTATATTATAATGTATAAATTTATAGCTTAATGTCAAATTWACTAGTTATTCACGTTTGTTTATTTCGTTAACGGTCCAATGATAATGATTGACTATAACAATATTCCTAAACTTTTACAGCACACCAGATTTTCTAAGCATGCTAAACATTATTTTTTCCT